TCAAAGCGTTTTAAAACGTTATAAACATTACACGCAGTTGCCTGGGTAAGCTTGATTTTTCGCACCCAGTTTTTAAAAATTCCTTCAAATTTGACAGTTTAGGAATACACTAATAATTTTTTTAAAGAAGTATTTTTCTTCTTCATATGTAGACTGGTGAATCAAAGCATCACGTTTTACTGAGTAATTAGTCCTTCAATAATTCACATGAGTAATGGGTCATTTCAGGGTTTAACCCCTGCTTCCATTATTTCTGACCAACGGTTTACCGACAGATGTCTCACTTTGGATATACACAACAGAAGCCTGGGATCTGTTTCACGTACATCTGTTCCCAAACAGCTCAGGCAGATTAATACTTAGAATGGACCCAGCTCTGCTAAGTCCCATGTAATCACTAACTCTTGTTGTTTTAAAATTGATTGGTTTTTTTCTCATTTTCACATTTTTCCACATTACCTTTCACGTTGCAAAGTTTCCAGCAAATGAATGTCTATAAAAACTTAAAGGACAAGAAAATCATGAACTCCCTTATAAAAGAAACACTTTCAAGACCTTATTTTGAAGCCCAGCTTTTTCAGGTTTTTCTGGTTACTGCTCTAATTAAGCTGAGCTCAAAGTCGTGGTAGGAATAACCCTTTGAAAAAACACAACATGAAATGGTATAACCTGAGGTAGTAAGTCTAAGAATAATAAGAGAATTGTAAACCATAACTAAGATTTGAAACCTTCACCGTATTTTTAAAAATATTTAAAACATAACATTCTCATGCTAATCGAACATACTGTAAGATCCTTGCCCTGAAATTTAATAAGAGGGTACAGGAAATGAAACTGAAGAAAGGATAAGCTAGTCCTTTTGTCCATCATGAAAAATCTGCTCATGGCTAGCCTTATCCCACTATTTTCTATCAGAAAGTGGTTTCTTCCTTTCCAAAGACAGAACCTGTGCTGAGGTGACTGCCCACCTCTCATTATTGTGTCTTGAAGCTAGGGAAGGGGAGCAAGAAACTTGGCCCGTATTTCCCAGGCAGTTCTTCTAATTAGAAATTCATTAGGGCTGTGAAGCTCTAGGTGTAAAATACACGTCTTCCACACACACCTGGCAGCTGATCATTAAAACTTAACTCGGGTTTATTACGATGTCCTAACACCAAAAGTCTATAAAAATAGGTATTTTCTTTAAAATGCAACTTCACAGAGTTGATGGTTCTTAGAGATCATATAATGTAAACGCCTCATTTTGCAGATAAATAAACTGTCACTCAGAGCAGTTAAATGACTTGCCTTAAGTCAGTTACACCCGTTAGTTGTAGACAAGACCTCAGGGCCCCTTGGTGCCCACTCCTGAAACCCTTCCTACACCAGATGGGAGATTACAGACAGCCGGAGTGGGGTGCCTGTAAAAGATCCTGTAGTGCTTTTCATACTTCAAGGTGCTATTCATTAGTAAATGATAAAGGTGCCCAGTGTGAGATAACAGAGACTTGTGGGCATTTGGCATTCCAGTCATAGAGATCCCTAAATTAATCATTCTTAAGTGTACTAAAATATGAGCTTAACATAGTCTAATGCTATCTATGCATTACTGACTCTCCCTACCAGTAGCTTTTCCTTTACGGGAAAATCTCATAACCAGATCTCACAGTACAGTAAGCAGATTCTGCATTGGGGATACACAAAAATGCTTGTACCTTCTGTTTCCATCTAGTGTTTCAAATAGAAGTTTACCACTTGGTAAGCGCACGTTCCTAGAAGTCTGTCCTCCGTTGAGATTTAGAACAATGCCAACAGGCCATCAGTGATGATTTTGAAAATGTTGAACTCTGAAAATACCTGATCCAGTAACAAGCTAAGGGCTGAATGACAAAATACACATATTGGTCTATGGCATCTGCCCATACCCCCTTTCTGAGTCTCTTCTCAATTTCTGACACCTCACGCCTGGTCCCAGGCACCATGTAGGGGGCTAACAACACTGTGGTCTGCTCTGCCTAGACAGGGTCCCATGACCCAGATGTGCCTGACCTTCCTCATTTGGCCTTAAAATCCTCATCTGACCCCTCTCCCATTTCTTCACGAAAGGTTTTGCCCTTTCCTAGAGCACAGAGAGCTAACTTGGTAATTCACATGAATAAACTCAAACGATTCCACAAGTAAAATGACTGTAATTTGAGATTCCAATAGGAAGATCATTAGGTACCAAGGCAGGCGATAATGAAGATATTTTCTGAATGGATGATGCCCTTTTGTGCATACAGTTTGCTTACACATGTGACATACTGGTCAATCTATGCCCTGGTCATAGATTGCTTTCTTTTTCCAACTTACAGCTGAGCAAGATGGAACCTTCTCACCATGATGCTAACAATGGAGAAGTAAGCCAACATTAGCTGAAGAATGTTTTGTAAAAAGAGTTCTAATGCTTTAACAAAAGGGGAGGGGGATACTCTTACAGGTGATGAGAAATCACTATTAAGTAGCAGTGTAGTAATCAGATTATAATGCAATGGGCAAAACTAAAGTTCATGAGACCAATTAACAAATTCATTCACGTGACAAATGTTTATGTCAGGCACTCTTCAAAGCGCTGAGAGTAAACAAAACAGATGTCCTGAACATCTTCCCTCTTCTCATGTAGATCCCGTCTCTGGGAGCTACACCATCAGTTCCCCCCAGTTCTGAGGCCTTCAGATTTGGTCTGAATTATACAACCAGCTTCCCTGGTTCTTCACTTTGCAGATGGCATAGAGTGGCATATCTCAGCCTCCATAATCCCATAATCTCCAATTCCCATAATAAATCTCCTCAAATATATATTGTACTGTGTATTTTTTTCAAGGTTCTATTTCTCTGGAGAATCCTACTACATGTCATTATAAATAAGCCAAAACCCATAGAAGGCAGAACACCAAGAGTGAACCCTAATGTAAACTATGGACGCTGGATGATAATGATGTGTCAATGTTCATCAGTTTTAACAAAGGTACCACCTTGGTGGGAAATATTTATAATGGGGGAGGCTATGCATGTGTGGGGAGCAGAGGGCATATGCACCTTCTGCTTAATTTTGCTGTGAACCTAAAACTGCTCTAAAAATAAAGCCTATTTTAAAAAAAAAAAAACAGCTACTAAGGCACTATGAGGTTTAAAAACTGAGTGGTCTTGCAAGCATCTCATATGATGTAATAATGCCCAGCAATCCGACCCCACCCCTACCCTTTCCTGGGACAGCCAGGCACCGGCCAAGGAGCAACAGACATGGTCTCCTCCACTACATCCTCCCACACCACGTCCTCCCAAGTATGGCAACCTTAAGGTAGTTTTTCCTTCATTTTCTGGACCAATTTCATTTGTCTTTCACCACGCACATCTAAGCTAATTCCACATCAGAGAGTATTTCTCACATTTAAACATATCTCTCAATACCTCCTTTTCTTTCCCCACTCTTATTATTTTACTAAGTAAAACATCTCTTGGTTCCTCCTACAAATAGTAGTGCTTACTAAGGTGCTAGGCTTCTGGACCTCCAATTTTCGGGGCCCAAAGTGGTTTGCATACTAGGTGTTAGTTACAAAGAAAGGGTGGTATATCTAAATGAAGGAAAAGAAAACCAAAGTGTTTTAGGTCAAAATTAAAGATCAACACTTGCAACCTTTAGAGTTATAACTGTCGGGATGTCTTTTTAAACTCTACAGCCAGGAATGCTAATTAAGACTATTTTCCCTCCATCACCACTCAGTATACAAAAGAGCATTTTTTGTCTTCATGCCATTATTTGACTTTTCGTGTACCGGTATTGCAACACTGATTTGAATACCTCTCGTTGCACAATGTCTCATTTTATTCCTATAGTATTTCAGCTTCATTGTAGGTTAAATCGACTCTTGTAGGCCAATTTAAACTCTAATGGTAAACTTCTATGTCCCCAAATTCAAACAGACTTAAAAACTAAACAGAATAACTCTATGTCCATATCCCTAGCTTTTAACTCAAAGGTTCTAGAAAATACTCCACAGCTTGGTTTTCAACACACCTGAAAACATTTTTAATTAAAGTCAAAGGCAGTTTTAGTTAAGTGGGCCAGCAAGACACCTGCAGCAGAAGCAGAATTCCCACTCAGAACCAGCACTGGGTCCCTGACTAGTCTGTTTCGTTCGATTTTTGTACACAAAACTTTAAAACCGTGACATTTTTCTATTCTTTGAGGTAAACAGCGCATTGTGTCTTGTTTTCCAACAGGGGAAGGCATTTTTAAAAATCTCGTAAGTTAGCATTTAGAGGGGACGTGTACCACATCCCAAGGTTTTCCCCTAAATCATCTCTAAGACTTGAAGTAGTTCTATTGTACAGAATTATAACACTTTCTAAATAAAGGTTTAGGTCAAAAGGCAAATGCACGTAAACAACAAGATGATTCTAAAGTCAATATTGAACACCAAAAGTTTCTAGACTGACCTTTAGACTTGATTCTAGACAATGGCTAGGAATGTGAGGGATGGAAAAGTCCAGGGAGACCAAAAGTTGGGGTGAAACTTTCAGAAGTCAGCAAAATGAGAGCTGGATTTGAAACCCACGTGTAGGTTTACTCGGTAAAATGCTTATACTTTCAGCGTTACCGTCAGAAGTTGACGGAGTAAAACTTCAACTTGGAGGAGAGGAGCAGGTGACCTTCCTGCATCTGGAAAACACCTCCCCTTGCGGGGCTCAATTCTTTCTTCGGCGTCACAGAGCAGAAGCAGTGTGACGCAGGTCCCGTGATGGCACCCCAGGCGGAAAGCCAGCTGGGAGGGGACAGGTAGCGGGAGGCCCCTGGGGGCGGCGCGGGTTCTCGCCCCCTGGCGGGAGGGAGGAGGCGGCGGCTTCTGGACGCGGTAGCCGGCTGTGGCAGAGGCGGAGCTTGCGGAGGGACTGCGCCGGGAGGAGGGTGTGGGGCCGGGAGAGCGAGGAGGCGCCGCGGGGGGCGAAGACGCCGGGACCTTCTAATTGGGACCACTCACCTGTGGGGCGCTCGGGCTGGATGGGCTGCCACCTCAGGGCCCGCTCGCTCAGCACCACGTCGCAGCTGTCCCTCCGGATCTCGAAGATGCCCCGGAGCAGAATCAGCTCGGCCGCCGACTCTGGCTGCTGCCCGGACGCCCACAGCACCGAGGGCACGGCGTCCGCCGCCGGGGGCGCCTCCTCCTCCCGGCAGCCCTCCAGGGCGCTCACCCTGCCGCCGCGCCTCCCCCGGGGCATGGCGGAGCTACCGGCTGGGCCCGAGCCAGGGGTCCGGGGAGGCCTTTGGGGGAGGAGGTGGAGCCCGCGGCAGCCGCGGCTCTGGCTGCGTCCGGCGCTGCCACAGCAACCGCGCGCCGGGCAGAGACCCAGGAGGGAGGCGAGGCGGGGCGGGGCGGGGCGCGCAGGCGGAGCCGCCCTGACCTAGTCCAGCACCTTGGCCCGCCAGCCTCCTGCCTCTGCCACTTACTACAAAAAGACCGCAGTCCAGGAAGAGGAATAAGTGGATCTCTCCACCTAGTCCCTACAGTTGCTTGAGATTTTGCGCACTGCGTTACCCGCCAAAATATAGGCCAGCACTTCTCAAACACTGACTTGCATACTCACCCCTGGGCATCTTGTTAAAATGCAGATTCTTATTGAACAAGTCTGGGATGAGGCCCCCGACACTGTTTCTAGGAAGCTCCCAGGTAACGCCGCTGATCCTCAGAACGCACTTTGATTTGCAAGGGTATAACCCTCTGTTTTTCCACCTTCTTCCCAGCGGGCTTTCCTGGAGCGCAGAGGTCGTGCTTTATAACCTTGCTTGCATGCCCCCAACAGTTAGCTAAACTATATGCAGCTGGTAATAGAGAACTCAGTTCCCAAAAGCCCTGAGAGGACGCCAAAGACAAGTCCCTGGTTTACATAGACAAATTTTCGTTCTGACAAATTTAATGTTAAAGGAAGGTGCCTCCATGCTGTAAGTATTAAGGGTCCTAATTTTCCCCAAGATACTCCTCTGCAGTCTTGTCTCTGCCTGGATCTGACTTTCCCTGGAGAGAGATCACAAGAAGCAGGGCTTATTCTCCTGAAGGCTAATGCAGCGTTACCTGGAAATGAAGAGAGCCCGGGCCGGGGCGGGCGTGGGAGGGTGGGGGCGGTCAATCCTTCACTTTCTCGCGATAACTGAGATTCATGAAATTAGCTGTTAATTTGGAAAGCACAGAGTCTGGAGGCCAATGGTTCTCAATCACATTAGAGTTACCTGGGGAGTTTGCTTATAATCCAGATGCCCAGGCTACACTCAAAGACAATGAAATTGGAATCTCTGGGGGATGGGACCAGACTTCAGGAGTTTTTAAAGCTCTCCAGGTGATTGCAATGTTCAGCCAGAGCTGAGTGCCGCTGCTTTAAGCAGTGTATTAACAGGGAGCTGACAACTTGTGAAAGTGAGTTCTCTGGAGGAGGAGCCAGAGTGGGAAGTAAATCAGCAGGCTTATTTTTTATATACATAAGGCCAGAATAATTGCATTGAGAAAAAGTTAGGGAGAGGAAATTAAATTCAAAGAGTTGTGAATCTAGTTCCACTATGCTAGTGCCTAACCAGTAACTTCTGATAGGCAGCCACTTCTCTTTCTGTCCTCACCCCTCGTCACACTGCAAAGTCAGACAGAAGAGCTAATGGTAGCAGGAGCATCTCAAGGGTCTCTGCTCAAACTTAGATTTCAAAAAACCGAGGATGGAGACCACAGACCTAGCCAAATCCCTTTCAGACACAAAGCGCCTGTGTGCCAGTTAAGCTAGGACTCTTACTGTTTAATGCTCTGAAAACAAATACCCAAGCTTCCAGGTGAAGTGGGGAAGAGCCTCAGTGTGATCTGATTGCAGCCAGCTGTTTCTTGGAGCAGAAGTGCAGCTGCTGTTAAACCTCACGCAGGCTTCAGGTGGCTCAGCTCAGCGGTCATTAGTGGGGAAGGCTGGTGCCCTCCGCAGAATGAGTTGCAGTTCTGGAGTCAGCATCTTGTATTCACAGCTGTCAGGCAATCAACACAATTAGAGCTCGTTGGCATTTTAAAAGCTCACTGAAAGCCAGGGCCGATAGGCCAAGGCAGTGGCTACTTCTTAGGACATTTGCAAGGGGCAAGTTGCCATTTTTCAAGCTTCAGCCAAGCCAGACAGCCAAAAACATTGGCTTTGGCTTTCTTGAGGATGAAAGTACTGGCTATGTTCCATTCTTTCCCTTTGATGAGGTGTTCTCTTCTAGGATTCTAAAGGTTGCAGTGCCCTGGAGCTCTATCCACAGGACCCACCTACGTGAGCATCAGTGCCATGGCTTTACATACTATTCAGGGCTCCTCCAGTGATGTCATCAGCCCCAATCAGTCCCCTGAACTTCAGGCACTATGTCCAACTGCCCACCTGACATTGCTAGTTGGCTGTCCAACAATCATCTGAAACATAACATCTAAAACCAAACACAGGATTTTCTATCACAAACCTGTTCCTCCCAGAATGTGGCAAATCTCAGCGAATAGTGTCATCAAAATCCTTGACATCATCCTCATTTCCTTTCTCTGTAATGAGAAAAAAGAAAAATTCATGACACATTTAATGTCTGCATGTCAATCTATATTTTGGGTGAAGTGAGCTTTAGTTGCATCCATCTCTCAGTCATTTCTGATGCTAAATAAGCACATTGTCAAGGGGTCTGCTTCCCTCTCATGCTGAATAGAGATTTTGTCAGAATGTTCCTGCAACTCGGGCTCGTACTGCCTAAAAGGTAGAGGGCCATATATCCCTACAAGAATTACAGAGAAGCGAGAAAAAATTGTAGAATCCCACCAAGTCAGAATATTACATCTTCTTCATATGCCAGTTTTTTGCACTCACATGGAAACTCTGTTTAAAATGAATTGCTCAGCTGTGTTTTAGGACACATCTCAAATGATTATGGGATGACAATGACCATGTAATCTCTAGCTTCTCAATAAACAATAACAATAAGTAACAGAGGAAAGAAGAATAGGCACTTCTTTCCTTTCCCTCAAGTTTTTAAAGCCCCATTTACAGGTAGGTACTATATTCATAAACTTGGAGCAATTTGAAATGTATTTCAACCAAATAGAGAGCTTGAAACATTCTCACAGTATCTGCTAGCAACACTGTAGTGCAGAATCTTAAGTTAGGTATAACCAGATACACAAGTAAAACACAATTTAAATCAGAAACATATGCTCATTTTCTAGAGCTCACACTATTATAACTGTGAAAAAGGCATTATACCGAGGAGGCAACATCTCTTCCCACTGTTGAAAACAGCCCACTGCTTTCAGACCTCTTACCCATAGGCACCAGAGAGTTTGGCACTGGGTTCAGTCTTTGATTATTACATCATTTTTTGTCATCATTTTGGGCATGTCAGTGTCCTAGTCCCAAATTTCCATGACAGCCTCATCCCAACAATCTATGGTGTCCTCTGTTGCAGGCTCCCATTCTTAGGACGTCCTCTGGACCTTGTAGAACTTCTTGAATGCTTAAACTCAAAAAGCACTCTTTCAGAACACAGACTCTTGTTCTTTTCAAACTTGGATATGCTTAAGAATCTTTAGTTTGTTTTAAATGTAAATTCCCAGTGTTTACCCCCCACTGATGCTCTGAGATTTTGAATCTGTAACTGAACTAATCCTAGAAATGTGTGTTTTAAACAGGTACAACAGGTGATTCTGTATGTTTTTGACAACATACACACCACTTTGACAATCAGTGAGCAGATCCTTCCTGTTTGTCCTGCTCTTGACCCCTGCCGTTTTACCACAAGGCTTGTCCATTTGTCTATCATTTACAAGTAATGGAATATCCAGCTAAAAGTGTTTCAAAATACAATTTTACTTCTCATGTAAACAGAGCTCTGGAGTCAGGCTGTTCTGGGTTGGCCTTTAGGAAATTGAGGGCTTTTTAACAAATGGGACCTAAGCAAACTTATAAACTTTTGCACAGAAGAGGAAACCATAAACAAAACAAAAGGACAACCCACAGAATGGGAGAAAATATTTATAAATAATGCAGTGGATAAGGGCTTAATCTCCAAAATATACAAACAGCTCATACAGCTCAATATCAAAAAAACAACCCAATCAAAAAATGGGCAGAAGACCTAAATAGACATTTCTCCGAAGAAGACATACAGATGGCTACAGGCACATGAAAAGATGTTCACCATCACTAATTATTAGAGAAATGCAAATCAAAACTACAATGAGCTATCTATCACCTCACACCAGTCAGAATGGCCATCATCAAAAAGTCTACAAATAATAAATGCTAGAAGCGGTGTGGAGAAAAGGGAACCTTCCTACACTGTTGGTGGGAACGTAACTTGGTGCAGCCACTATGGAATACAGTATAGAGGTTCCTTAAAAAACTAAAAATAAGAGTTGCCATAGATTCCCACAATCCCACTCCTGGGCATATATCCAGAAAAGACAAAAACTCTAATTTGAAAAGATACATGCACCCCAACATTCATAGTGGCACTATTTACAATAGCCAAGACATGGAAGCAACCTAAATGTCCATGGACAGATGAATGGATAAAGATGATGTGGCATATATATACAATGGAATATTAGCCATAAAAAAAATGAAATAACGCCATTTGCAGCAATATGGATGGACCTAGAGATTACCATACTAGTGAAGTAAGTCAGACAGAGAAAGACAAATATGATATCACTTATATGTGGAATCTAAAAAAATAATACAAACTTATTTACAAAACAGAAACAGACTCACAGACATAGAAAACAAACTTATGGTTACCAAAGAGGAAAGGGGGTGGGGAGGGATAAATTAGGTGTATGGGATTAACAGATGTACACTACTATATATAAAACAGATAAATAACAAAGATTTACTATATAGTACAGGGAACTATATTCAATATCTTGTAATAACCTATCATGGAAAAGAATCTGAAAAGGCTTACTTTGCTGTACACCTGAAACTAACACAATATTATAAATTGTTTTTTTAAATTGAAACTATATTTCAATTTTTAAAAACAACAAAAAAGAAATCAGGGGCTTTTCAACTTTCTATTTTGCTATCCCCAGTTAACAACAAGGACCCCACAGGTGGCTCCCAGATGGCTGCATGGTCCCTAATCATATATCATCTCCCCAAAATGTCCAGAAGCAAGTATAGAAGTGGCAAGGGCAGTTTCTATCTGTGCACTTCTACTTCTATCAGGGAAGAACATGTTTTCCAAAATTCCACCCAACAGATTTCCTCTCAGGTCCCATTGACTAGAATCGGGGAATATGCCTGTGCTCTAGCTTCCAGGGAGCCTCAGAACAGTGTTTTCAGTCTGGAAGAAGTTGTGGATGACTATTGTTTAGGCAACTAACAGTGTCATATCTTCTTTTTCTTCCAAGCTATATCATTTATGCCTAACAAGACACACACCCCAAACTTATTGACTTAAAGCGATGATTATTTTTTCTTGTGATTCTGTGAGTTGGCTGAGCTCAGCTGGGTAGGTTTTCTCCTCCA